CTCTAAAGTAGTAGAGGCAATGTAAGCTTGGAAAGTTAACGAATTTGTTAGAAATTGTTCTTCCTATAAATATTTTTTAATGCAATAGAAAATTGAGATCAAATTATTCTGTCACTGTGATTGTACAGGGAGAGTAACATTCCAGTAGTGAGGGAGGCTTGGTTGCTTGATAGCATCCAGAAACAAGCAGCTCAACCGTTGGATGCTTATGATGTTGTTTCTGATCTTGCTCCTGAAGGCAAGGGAATCCCGTGGGACAAACAAGATCCTGGCGAAGAAGCCCTTGAGTCCTTGACTGCAGAGGTAATTCTCTTTCTCAACTATATCTTTTCCATTGTTGTGGGTTTTATATTTCAGATTTTAACCTATAAATATGGTCCTGTGCAGCTTAAGCTCTATGGCAAGAGAGGTGTCCATAAGGACTCTAAACTGGTGGATCAAGGTGGAGTTATTTTTGAGAAGGATGGAGTTATTTATAACTGCGCATTCTCCATTTGTGATCAAGGAAGAGGACTTAATGAGTAAGGCTACATTCTCTTATTAAATAGTATTTCGATGCGGCAGTCGCTTGTAATCATTTTTCTGTTTCGTAAGCAGATATTGCATCACTCAGTTGATTATGGTACCTGAGAACAAGCTGCATCTATTTTACAAGAAGGGTCGAGTTGGGGATGACCCCAGAGTAGAAGAAAGAGTTGAGGAATTTCCCGACACTGATGATGCAATAAGGGAATTTGTTCGGCTGTTTGAGGAGCTCACTGGAAATGAGTTTGAGCCTTGGGAGAGGGAAAAGAAGTTTGAGAAGAGGAGCCTCAAGTTCCACCCTATAGATATGGTACAGCTTCAAATACTCTGTCGATGATTTCAGTTAATTCGATGGCTGTTCAAATGTAAATTTTTGGTTGTTTGTTGAATAGGAGGATGGTTTTGATGTTCGATATGGTGGTTTGGGGGTTCGTCAGCTTGGAGTTGCAGCTGCTCACTGCAAACTTGATCCTTTGGTTGCAAATTTCATGAAAGTTTTTTGCAGCCAAGAGGTCTATAGGTACATTTCTTTTGTTTTCAGTGGTCTTTATAGTTGTGCTTTGACTGAATGGGCTTATTGAATATCATGGTGGATAGGTATGCTTTAATGGAGATGGGCCTGGATAGCCCTGATCTTCCTGTGGGAATGGTCTCAGATCTCCACCTAAAGAGATGTGAGCAAAAAATCCTCTTACATATTGATTTATTTAGTTCCTTTGTTCAACTTCAGTTCGACATTGGTGAGTTGTTGCTGCAGGTGAGGAGCTACTACTACAATTCAGGGACTGTCTGAAGACAAATCCTGAGTCAGACGATAAAGGCAACATGATGCGATTGGACTTTAGCAATAGATGGTTCACTATGATGCACTCCTCTCGGCCCTTCACCATAAGGGATTTCGAGGAACTTGCTGATCATGTAAAAATCTTTAACCATTTGGTTTGTTGAATTTTTCAATGTGAATATGGACGTCCTAATGATGTTGGTTCTGTTTTAAAATCCAGGCAGCTGCAGCATTTGAGACAGTGAGGGACATAACAGTTGCTTCACGGCTGATTGGGGACATGACAGATGCAACTCTGGATGATCCGTTGTCTGACCGATACAAGAAGTTGGGATGTTCTGTTACTCCATTGGACAAGGAATCTGATGATTATAGTATGGTAGTGAAGTATTTGGAGAAGACCTACGAGCCTGTCAAGCTTGGGGATGTGGTAAGAATTGTTCCAACTGATTCTCGGGATTGTTGATTAGTCTATGATTCAGTACTAATAGCCTGTCATACTATGTAGAGCTATGGTGTAACGGTGGAGAATATATTTGCCGTGGAGACGAATGAAGGGCCTTCTTATGATGATGTGAAGAAGTTGCCTAATAAAGTCCTTCTATGGTGTGGTATGTTTCCTGTTGGGCTTTTTCTTCCTTTCCCAAGTTTGTTTTAGATATGAAGCGATTATTCTTTCTCCGTTTGAGAGAGGTGTTGGTATTTATTCTTTTGTTAAAGAAATAAGGGCCTTAGTGCAATTTACTGATTGAAAATAGTAGGAAATTTTTCTTTCTGAGGAGCTAGATTATTCTGGACAAATGAACGTATTGAAAATGTAGTAACTACATCTCGCGATATTATTCTGGACCAATGAACGAACGTATTGATGTGCGGTTACGAGGAGAGAGAATAAGTCTTTAGTTCTTGAATATTACCAAGTAACAAAAGAGGAGAAAGGGGGGGGGGGGGGGATGAAAATAAGGAATAAAGTTGACAATACAAAGAGAAGATATCTAAATATATTTTGTTTTATTTGTAGGAACTAGAAGTTCGAACTTGATGAGGCACTTATACAAAGGCTTCGTGCCAGCAGCATGCTCGATACCTGCTCCAGGCTACATGGTATGTTGCTTGAAGCAGTTCATTTCACTTGGAAATCTACAACTGTAACTTTCAGGCTGACTAACATATAAATTCTAATGAAGTTTGGGAAAGCAATTGTGTGCTCGGATGCGGCAGCTGAGGCTGCAAGGTACGGGTTCACAGCGATCGACAGGCCTGAAGGCTTCTTAGTCTTGGCTGTAGCTTCCCTCGGGGACGAGATCACCGAAATGAACAACATGCCCGAGGTAAATTTGAATAGCACAAGTTCATACGATCTGTGTATGGGATCGTACATCAACCGCTCATGTTGTTGTTGCAAGCAAGGAATAAAGTTAACTATACAAAGAGAAGATCATCTAAATATATTTTGTTTTATTTGTAGGAACTAGAAGTTCGAACTTGATGAGGCACTTATACAAAGGCTTCGTGCCAGCAGCATGCTCGATACCTGCTCCAGGCTACATGGTATGTTGCTTGAAGCAGTTCATTTCACTTGGAAATCTACAACTGTAACTTTCAGGCTGACTAACATATAAATTCTAATGAAGTTTGGGAAAGCAATTGTGTGCTCGGATGCGGCAGCTGAGGCTGCAAGGTACGGGTTCACAGCGATCGACAGGCCTGAAGGCTTCTTAGTCTTGGCTGTAGCTTCCCTCGGGGACGAGATCACCGAAATGAACAACATGCCCGAGGTAAATTTGAATAGCACAAGTTCATACGATCTGTGTATGGGATCGTACATCAACCGCTCATGTTGTTGTTGCAAGCAGGATACGAAGTCACTGGAGGAGGAGAAGAAAGCTGTGAAGGGTGTTGGAAGGAAGAAGACCGACGAGTCTGAACATTTCACGTGGAAGGACGATGTCAAAGTGCCCTGCGGCCAGCTCATCTCTTCCGGTCATGACGATAGCCCGCTCGAGTACAATGAATATGCTACCTATGATCCGAGCCAGGTTAGAGTGTTCTCATTTACCTGAAGAGCTTGTGTATGGGATACTGAGCTGGTTTATATTGTTGCGCAGGTGAGCATTAGGTTCCTGGTTGGCGTGAGTTATGAAGAGAAGGGCATGGAGATGGATACCGCAGAGTGAAGTGAGATGGGTGAATGGTTGGTCGGGAGGTGGAAGCAGTAGTTTTTGATCGAGTCCCTTTTTGGCAAACACAGCGGAAACTTTTGTATGTAAACTTTTGTATGCACATAAAGGCATGTATGCGTATATATGAAATCTTTTGTGCTACATCTGGTTGGCCTCAACATTTATGATGTTCTGAGCTTTTTGATCGAGTCCCTTTCTTTTCAAATTGTTGCTTTGATGAGCTTAATTGCGCTTGAATATCCAATAGGGTCTTACTCGGCGCTTAATATAATGTATCCTTCCTTAATTAGTAGTTTTTGGCGGCGCTTGTATATCTTAAGTTCTTTAAATATGCACTTTAATATGCAAATACGAGACATTTTCCTAGCTAAAAACTTCTCACTTCGCTAATTTTAGGACATTTTAAATTTTAATATTTGCTATACTTACTGCTGAACGGTCCTATAAAAAATCTATTTCAAAATAGAGTTATTATTGTTGAACCTATAAAAAATCTATTTTAAAATAGAATCATGTCACTACTTGCTGATTTTAGAACATTAATATTTGTTAAATTGAGTATATAACCGACTTGAACTAGAATTAGAATTACGGCAGTTTGAACAGTAAATTTAACAAAATTAGCATGTGGTGACGCGCGAACGAAATTCAGGGGGCGATTTCGTTCGGATAACTTAGGGTACCTAATAGCAAATCTTAAAAACTTTAAGGTGTGGTGTATTAAGTTAGGTATTTAATTGCAAATCTTTAAAGACCCTAGGGTATATAAATGCTGTCAATGATAGGTGAGGGTATATAAATGCAAAGTAGGAGAAACTATAGGGTATTTAAGTGCAATTAAGCCACATGCAAAAGCCAAAGCACTGTAACTTTTTCCACTCGACTCGCTATACATCACCGACGACTGCGAGAAGATGAATCCGGTGACCGATGATCCGGCGACAGCGTCGACCACCACCATCTCCGGTCCTTTAGCAATCGCATCATGCGCAGCCATGGCGCTATCCTACGTGGCGATCCTCTACGCGCCCACTCTCCTCCTCCGCCTCCCTCCTCCGACCTCTCTCGATAACTTCATGATGCGACGCTTCGCCTGCGCCTTTGTATCCTCAGCCGCCTCCGCCGCCCTCACCGCCTCCATCGTGGGAGTAAGTTCCTGAACCCTAAAACCTAACTTCCCCCAAAATTTGTACGCACCGTTTTGTTTTGGGCAGGCCGGGAGATTTAGGGATTTGGCCTCGATCTTTGGCGTGTTTGGAATTAGAGCGGATCATACGGTATTGGACCCTGGGATACATGATTTCTCTTGTTTTTTCGAGTGATTTTGAGGTAATTGTGGACACCTAACGCTTTTACCGCAGTGGCGAGCTTTGGTGTTTCCTCTCTTGCTGACGTCGCTGGTGTATTCTGGATCCCTGGCGTTGGAGTTTTGGTTGGTGATTAGCGGACGGAGAGGTTTGAAGAGTTTTGGGGAGTGGGTGTATGGAATGCTGCATAATGTGATGGCTTGGCGTAATTATGTTGTGGTAAATTGATACTTTCTTCAAGTTTTCTTTGATTTTGATCACCTTACTCGTTATATGTTCTCGATTTGATGTGAAGTTTTGAGCTCAATTTGTAATAAATTATCAGCATGTTACTTTACGCATTTGTATGGGAAATTTGATCGATTAATTTAGGTGCTGCTTGGCGGTCAGTAGGTTAATACACTATTTATAAGTACACTATGTATTCTGTAACCCACATCCAGAGGCAGATAATCAATACAAGTCATTGACATGAACTTGTTTGTACTTATTCATCATGGAAGCCTGGACCTGTATTATGAGTATCCCCCCGATCGTGCAATATAAATGTATCGGCCTGATTCTCATATGTATTAGGCTATCTTATGTTCGATTGATGTTGGTTGAAATTTTGACATGTATCACGCGTGCCTTTTGCATTGCTTACTTCTGTGTGCTCGAGCCGATGACTGATTAAGCAGTTGGTGTTAATTGAACTTTTAATGCGCATCATGTGCATTTTGCAGAGTTTTCTTCTGTGTACATATCATGATGATCCAAACAAAGATTTTTTATAGGTCTTGAAACATTTGCATGCTTTGCTCATTTGCATCATGTAGTGTGTAATCTGCATATCATACTTGTTTTATATGCTCATATTGTCTACTCTTTCATTTAGTTGAATTTTTTATAACTTTTTAAATAACTTTTAAAAGTGATCATAGACCTACTAATTGCTGGCAACCCTATACTGAACAGGCACCATTCACAGAGGAACTGGTCTTTCGAGCATGTATGATTCCTTTGCTTCTTTGCGGTGGATTTAATAGATACAACATCATATTTCTTAGCCCAGTCTTCTTCAGCTTAGGTAATTAGATAGGCAGTTTCTTTTCATTTCTCAATTAGCTAATCCCACTTGGAGCATTTTGCCTTCTATTTCATTCATTATACTTATATCTGCCTGATTCCTTGTGCATTTTGTTTCAGTTATTTGAATGTTTCTTTGCGTTCCGATTTCTTATATGTAAGTAGTACCCGTAAAATTTAGAGAAATAAAGTTAAATCTGGAGAAATTCTTGTAATATAGGTAAATATTATATTTTGCAGTCTTTTTAGTAACCGGGGCAAGATGCTGAGGAACTTTGTTATTTTATTAGAGTAAAATGTACAAAATAAACATAAAGAGAGTGGGAAAGAGAGTACAACAGAAGTCATTATTTTTTATGTATTTCTGTTTATAAGACTGATAATATGATAGCTCTTGCTAAGCCTATTGCCAAGTAACAGATATAGTATGATGGGATGTTTTGAACCATTATTACTCATATGGTGACTCTTTTTGCAGCACACTTAAACCATTTTCTGGAGCTTTATTGTCAACATAAGTATCCTTTTCGGAAAGCTCTCCTTATTGTAGGTACTTTCTCTTAGCTTCATGAAATTTTAAGTTGATTGTACAAAACAGAAATAGTAACTTATCTTTTCACTAAGCATGTGGTGCTTTGACACACTCACCTGCTAAAATTACGCCTTAAAAAGATTGGATCTTTCATTATACCATGGTGTACCACTTTTGCCTATGATTGCTAGCTGTTAGTTATTCTGAAGCCTTGTATAATATATTGAAGATGTCTTTCCCCCCTCTAGTCTTGAGGAAGCAATTTGTTCTGGCATTCTTCTCATTACCAGTCCTCTCCTGTAGCCCTGCTATTGCAGGTTATGTTATGTATGTATCAGTGTTCAGACGCTGCAACCAAAGATTGGTGCTGTCATGTTTTTGGAAACCTGAAATTTATAGATCAAATTGAATCAATTTTCATGAAGACTGGCATTAAAAATCTGCTATATTGATGTTAAACCCATCTTGAGCTACTATTTGATGGTTAACATTACGCGGATCATTGCACTTGCGTTGGTCTATCTAGAACTGGCTAGCATTGTTCACAGGTTTAAACTTCACTGGTGTTTTTAAAATTGTTTAATTCTCTTTATGTACTTAGGCACCAACGCTATGAGTAACTTACTGTGGCATACTTAAGTTCAAAAGCATGACGACGTTCTGTTATATGCCATACTTATCAGGTCTCCAGCTAGGTTATACTGTGATATTCGGATGGTATGCATCTTTCCTCTTCATTCAAACAGGTATGTTTGCTCATGTTTATTTAATGAGGTGCTTTCTTTAGACATGTATGGAGTGTGCTCAGAAATATTTGGGTCCCCATGAATTATCATTCCTGTGCACTATGAATATCCTGTGCATTATATAAATTCTCTTATTGATTGACTCTGTCCATCTGGCCTTATTTTTCTTCCTTCACTTTTTGGCATTAAGAACTCTTTTATTATTATGGCATCATTTATGTGGAATATTTCTTGCTTATATAGCATTTCTCTGTGAATATAGCAATTTTTATAGCAAATTCAATCAATTTGTCCTAGGCACATTTTTTTTTGGTATAAAGGTCTTTTTGCAGGCAAACCCATGCCTGTTCAAACTTAATTTACAGGACTAGTGGATGGAATAGGTTACCTTAGACAAGACTTAAGCTGGTTGGTCTTTCTCTTAGCATTTGTTTTGTAGACAAGGACCTTTGTGCTAATTAAAAAGGTTGGATCAGTTTGATAACTGTCTGAAAAAGTTTGGCTGATACTGCAATCAGAGTCTCCGCAATTAGAGTTGTGCTCCATTACCAACTTTATATTCATGGGAAAAGACTTAGATGACAAAGATATTGAAGCCCGTAAATTCATTTGGTTACTAAAATATAAACTTCCCCAACTTTCTCAAAGCCTCTTCATATGTGTCTCCTGATACGTGCTTTGAGTCAGTGTTATGCACTTTCTTTCTTTATACGCATAAGATATGCTGATATTTTTACTATACAATGTACAGGGAACATACTATCGCCAGTTGTGGCACATATATTCTGTAATATCATGGGCCTGCCTGTTGTCTATTCTTCAGGTACAAAAGGTTTGTGGCTTCTACTTTTTTACCACTACTAAAACAGGCTTGTGTATCATAATGCATATAATTTGGTGATATGTATACAGTAGGCTGCACCAATAACTTTTGTTGAAAGATTAGGGTTACTTTCTCTCATAGATAGATACCCCTTTTATAGAAGGGCACTCTTACAAATAGGTCCTTACAACATTGACTAATTACTATCTAAATAACTCAACACTCCCCCTCAAGATGGGCGATAGATATCAATCATCCCCATCTTGTTACAAAAGATATCACACTCTCTCGAACCTAATCCTTTTGTTAAACAATCAGCTAACTGCTCTTCTGATTTCACATAGCTCAAAGTCAGAACTCCTCTATTCAGTTGCTCCTTGATAAAGAACCGATCGATCTCCACATGTTTGGTGCGATCATGCTGAACTGGATTGTTTGCAATATTAATCGCCGATTTGTTGTTGCACCAAAGTTGTAAGGAGTCTCTTCTAAACAAGCGCAGCTCAGATAATATGTTTTTGACCCACATCAACTCGCATAGACCAACTGTCATAGCCATGTACTCCGCCTCAGCTGTAGACCTAGCCACCACATCTTGCTTCTTGCTACGCCAAGATACGAGATTGCCTCCAACAAATACACAGTAGCCTGTAGTGGACCTACGATCATCCATACAACCCGCCCAATCAGCATCACAGTAGCCTTCAATTCTCAGATGTCCAGAACTTCTGAACTACAACCCCTTTCCTGGGCTTCCCTTAATATATCTAAGAATTCTGCGAACTGCCTCCATATGCTGTTCTTTGGGATCATGCATATATCTACTCACCACACTTACGACATGAGTAATATCAGGTCTCGTATGGTATAAATATATAAGTCGTCCAACTAATCTTTGATATTGCTCTTTACTCACTGGGTCACCACCTTCGGCACACATCTTATGATTTTGCTCGATAGGAGTAGATACAACTCTGCACCCTAACATCCCTGTCTCTGAGAGAAGATCCAGAGCATACTTCCGCTGAGAAAGCACTATACCCTTTCGCGACCTTGCAATTTTAATTCCGAGGAAGTATTTCAACTGCCCCAGATCTTTAACTTCAAATTCCTCTCCCAATTTCTTCTTCAACCGTAGGATTTCTTCAACATCATCTCCAGTGATTACAATATCATCAACATAGACCGTCAGAATAGTGATACGAATTTTGGAGTGCCTGTAAAACACAGTATGATCTCCATTACACTGTTTGTACCCCATACCACAGACTGCCAACCTGAATCTATCAAACCATGCTCTCGGAGACTGTTTTAACCCATACAAAGACTTCTTCAACTTGCACACCTTTCCAGCTACTTGAGAAGTAGCGAAGCCTGGTGGAATCTCCACATACACCTCCTCCTGGAGATCTCCATGCAAAAAGACATTCTTAACATCTAGCTGATGTAGTGGCCAATTGAAGTTGGCAGCACATGACACCAACACTCTAACAGTGTTCTTCTTTGTTACTGGAGCAAATGTCTCGTCATAGTCAATGCCATACGTTTGACTGTAGCCTTTAGCAACCAATCTGGCTTTGTATCTGTCGATCTTGCCCTCTGGAGTTTGCTTAACCGTATACACCCACTTACATCCAACAGCACGCTTCCCAGCTGGCAGAGGTACCAACTCCCAAGTATCATTCTTCTTCAAAGCCCGAAGTTCCTCTTGCATGGCACTCAACCACCTAGGGTCTTGCTTAGCGACCTGCCAGTTGTTAGGTACAGGCACTGAATGCAATGATGCAATGAATGACTTATATGCAGGTGGAATGGATGCATATGAAATGTAATTCGCAATGTCAGTATCCCAACTACCAAACTTAGCTGGAGGTTTTCCAGCATTGACTCTGGAGGTTCTACGGGGTAAGACGGGAGTATTAGAATTATCAGGGAAGAACTCGTTACCTATCGATTCAGGTGGAGAAGTCACTGGAGAGGAGGGACTTGGGACATCAACATTTATGGGCACTAGCATAGGCACAGGAGGCGGCTCATGTTGCTGTTTCTGTCTCCTCGTGTATACTCTCAGCTCCCCCTGACCTTGACTATCACCTCCTGAGTCGCCATCACTACTCGGTAGTGTACCATCACTGCTCGGTCGCTCAAGAGGACATGGAATCATCCCAACCACGACGTCATTCTCATTATCATTCTCCCCCTCTACTAGCATCAGTAGAGCCATCTTCGAACAAGGAACTCAACTCCGTCTTCTCCCCATAAAAAGGTTCAAACTCCCGAAAAGTCACATCCATACTGACAAACAGCCTTCTTTCAGAAGGGCACCAACACTTGTATCCTTTTTGACTTGATGAGTAACCAACAAAGATACATTTAACTGCTTGCGGATCTAATTTACCCACCATCAACCTGTGATCTCTCACATAACATGTGCATCCAAACACTCTTGGTGTAACAACAAAAACGTTCGAGCCCAAGAGCATCTCACACGGTGTCTTCATCCCTAATACTCTTGATGGCATCCTATTGATCAAATAAGCTGCCGTCATGATAGCCTCACTCCATAAAAACTTAGGCACATTCATTATCAACATCAATGAGCGAGTCACTTCCAGTAGATGTCTGTTCTTACGTTCAGCTACCCCATTCTGAGCAGGGGTGTCTGGACAAGTAGTTTGATGAAGGATTCCCCTACCCCATTCTGAGCAGGGGTGTCTGGACAAGTAGTTTGATGAAGGATTCCCTGACTAGAGATGAAAGCTGCAAACTCCTTGTTGACATACTCAGTCCCAAGTAGTTTGATGAAGGATTCCCTGACTAGAGATGAAAGCTGCAAACTCCTTGTTGACATACTCAGTCCCATTATCTGTTCGGAGAATCTTCACCTGCATTCCAAATTGTGTCTTCACATAGGTCGAGAAGTCTTGAAAACATTTGTAAATCTCAGATTTCTGTTTCATCATGTATATCCAGACCATACGTGAATAACAATCAATGAAAGTAACAAACCATCTAAAACCACTAATAGAGGTAGTCAAGGTTTTAAATATCGGTTATCGGGGATTTATCGGACGGTCAAAATCCTTATCGGATAGCGGAAATCGGGGATATATCGGGGATAAGTAGTATTTATCGGAGCGATATACTGGATCATGTATATATAAAATATAATAACTAAAAATGTTATCTAACCATGCTTAATAAAATATAATAAATTTATTTATTTCATCACATCATAAAATTTTATGCCTAACATCAGTCAGTTTTATTTTTGTTGCAGACTTGAGTTCAAAACGACATCAAGATTCCAAGGAATGAAGGAACTAAAGAAGACAACTTAAAACAACAATTGTAAACTATCTGCAGATCCAAGTTGTAAAACTAATTGCAGATATAAGTTTGCTATAAATTAATTACAGTGAAAATTAACTGTAATTAAAATTAAATTTGCTTATACATTACAGTCTCACAAATATTTTCTTAAAATTAACTACAAGACTTGTAACTAATTTCTTATAAAGTCTTACAACAAGTCACAGTATTTTAACACAGATATATGGGGAAATCCTAAAACTACATAGAAATTCTTACAGAAAAGAGTTATAACTATTAAGTTATGTATGATGAAATTGACAAACATAGATCAACGTGTCTTTTCAGAGAAGAAAAAGAAAAAATGGAAGAAAAAGAAAAAAAATAAACTTAAAAGGAAAAAAGAGAGAACAGTAATCAGAATCAGAGGAGAAAAAAAAGAACTTAAAAGAAAAAGAAAAAAAATGAACTTAAACGAAAAAGAGGAGAGAACAGTAATCAGAAATTCAGAATAGATGAGGTGGGAGGCAAGCTTAAAAGAAAAAGAAAGAAGAGAAAAAAAATGAACTTAAAAGAAAAGTGAAAAAAGAAAGTCGAGGTCGGGGAGGCGAGCATATACCTGTTCGAAGAGGAGCGAGCGATGACGGCGAATGCTAGGGAGCTGCGAGGTCGAGGAGCTCTGAGCTGCGGAGCTGCGGAGGTGAGCGGAGCTGCGATGTCGGGGAGCAACGATGACGAGGTTCACGAAGTCGAGGCGAGGTTCGCTGGAGATTCACGAAAGCGAGACCGCACGGGGTTCACGAAGGCGAGACCGCCCGGGGTTCACGAAGTCGAGGCGACGAAAAGGCGAGGACGAAGAGGCGACGACGAAGATTTGCTGGAGAGCTTCGTCGTCGACGACGAGGCGATGAAGAGGCGAGGACGAAGAGGCGACGAAGAGCTTCGTCACGATGACGAGGCGATGAAGATTTGCTGGAGAAAAAGGCGACGACGAAGAGGCGACGACGAGCTTTGTCGGGACGAAGAGGCGCAGAGCACAGCCGCCAGAGATTAGGGCTTGAAGGTCTGGAATCGGGTTTGAGACTTCGAGCTTTCGTTTTATTGTGAAAACGGGTCGGGTGGGTTTAATATCTCAGCAACCTAATTCACTCACAAACCCGATAAACCCGACAAAAAAATGGAAGTTATCGGGCGCTATTAGCGGTTATCAGCGATAAATCGCCGATAATTGGTCAAAAACGCTAACCGATTACAATTTCCTGTTATCCTAGCGGCAACCTGAAAATTCCGATAAATCGCCGATAAATCCCGATAAATCGCCGATATTTAAAACACTGGAGGTAGTAGGACATGGTCCCCAAACATCAGAATGGACAATTGCAAATGGTTCACAACTTCGAAGACCAATCATTCTATAAGTAGAACGAGTATGTTTTCCAAGTTCACAGGCATTGCAAAATAACTCTTTTCTATCCACTTTCTTCATTAACTCAGGTTCTAATCTATTCAAACTCTCAAAAGATAAATGCCCTAACCGACAATGTTGAAGCATTGCTTCTGCCTCTGGGCCTCCGCTAACAGCAGCGGCAATCATTGCAGTCTCCCTGTCCAAGTACCAAAGACCATCACGTCTGATGCCAATCCTAATCCTCCTCCCCGTTTCCTTCTCCTGAAAGACACACAAATCTCGATCAAATAACACGGTGCAATTTAATTGATTAATGAGAGAGCTAATTGAGAGTAAGTTAACTGGAAACGAAGGAACATGCAATACAGATGACAAGGTAACAGATGAAGTGCAATGGACCGAGCCAGTACCCCTGATGGGTTGGGATGTCCCATCAGCAATCTGAACTGTCTCATGATGCATATGTTTACTCGGATAATATAATACAAACTCACTAGATGTTCCTGTGACATGCCTAGATGCACCTGAGTCTATGATCCAATCAACATGAGTTTTAGTGGATGTAAGTGCCTGAACCTGTGTACCTTTGGTCGCATGAGCATAACCAATAAAGTTACCAAAGCATGTAGTGGTAGCTAGATCCTGGGTGACTTGTCCCTTGCCCTTTGAACTCTCAGCCTGAAGCTTGAACAGACGTAGTTCATCCAGCTCTGTTATTTCAGCTCCAGTCATTCCAGCAGTAGTCTGAGACTCATCTGTCACAGCTAGGTGAGCAACTCCTTGGTTTACACGCCCCCTGTCTTCTCGACCTGCACGGCCACCAGTCTGACCATGTTCACCCCAGTTCCTTTCCCTGGGTGGCTTAGGGCACATCTGTCTCAGATGCCCTACCTCTCCGCAGTTGAAGCACTGCCTAGTCTCCCCTCTAAATCCAGTGTTATCCGGATTGGATACCACCAGCGTAGACTTCTCTCCTGTAAGTCCACCTATCCCAGACCGTAGCCTGATACGACTCTCCTCCTGTATCATGGCCGAGACTGCCTTCTCCAGTGGTGGGATCTTCGTCTAGGTTAGTAGCAATGCCGTCCTCTGCTCATACACTGGAGCCAAACCTCGGAGAAACAACATGGTCATCTTCTGCAAAGAGGCCTCGCGTTCCTTGCACTCAGGGTCCTTGCAGCTCGCTGGGGGCGAGAAGTGATCGTGATCGAGCCACAAGCGCTTCAGCTCTGTGGCGTACTCCTGTACAGTCCTCTCCCCCTGGACTATAGCGCTGATCTCCTTCTCGATCTGGAATACCCTCAAGTTGTTCAACTTCTTGATGATCTCCTCCATCGGATTTTTTCCAGTCTTTATCATCGATCCAACTTGTATTCTTGTGGTGCGCAACGAAAAAATGCCGGCAGCACTTCGACAGTACAACAAGATAGATAGATCAATAAGAATTCCTGTTTCACCAAGGAAACAAGAACCCAAAAGCAAGATATCTTAACAAAGTGAGATATCAGCTCTTCCTCTCATCAGTTCTAAGACAGACTTGTCGAGGGAACCTAAATAAACTATTACAAATCAAGAACCCCTCTCTTTCTTTTTTCTTCTTCTTTTTAAACTATTACAAATCAAGAAGAACCTCTCTCTCTTTTTTTTTTGTTTTTTTTAAAGGGCAGCGGAACAAGCTACCTAATCATCTGATACAGATCCCATTTTTCGTCTTCTCTTGGAACTGATCTACAAAAAAAGGATAAAAACCAAACTCCTAAACTTCCTCCAGCTCACGCCATCTTTTTTCTTCTATTGGATCTGATCTACAGAAATCAAAAAACAAAAAAAGATAAAAACCAAACTCCTAAACTTCCTAAACTTCCTCCAGCTCACGCCATCGGACCTTCCCCCGTAGCCGTGGTCACATGGCCCGTCCACCGCCGTAACCCTCACCGTTCCTGCGCAGCGACTCACTCGAAACCGCCAGCGACAGAGGGAGGTGAGAAACCCCTAATTCCCGCCGCCGCCGCCGTCCTCTGCAACCATGGGTCGTATGCGCAGCTGCGGAAGGGGTATCTCCTCGTCGGCGTTCCCCTACAAGAGGACTCCACCGAGCAGGCCTTCAGCGCCTTTGGCGAGGTCGTTCGAGGCCTTCAGCGCCTACAGCAAGATCTAGGATGAAGAGGATGACGACCGAAGCCCTTCGGATTTGTTCGGGTTGGATTTCGTCGGGTTGAAGAAGGTGGCGGCTAGGTTAGAGCTCTGATACCATGTTGAAAGATTAGGGTTACTTTCTCTCATAGATAGATACCCCTTTTATAGAAGGGCACTCTTACATATAGGTCCTTACAACATTGACTAATTACTATCTAAATAACTCAACAACTTTAGATCTAAGAAAACATATAAATGTATCTAATGCTGATGAGATTAGCCTATGTATAAATTCTGGTGACATTGTTTCAATTGGTTATATGCTCATCTGATATCCGTTCTGAAAACTGAGCCAATGGCTGCCTTTTGCATCAGTACTGCATGAACCAGTTGAATTACTATATCTTGAAGGAAAGAAAGTAAAAACCAACACGATCAGTACTTCATTTTTCTAGAATGTGATTGAAAAGCTTTCAAATTTGTAGGACCTCTTATTTATTAGCATGTTGCATAGAGATTCAATATTGAGGATAGTATCAAACATTACACATATATCTTTAATGTGGAATCCCATGCCAATCTTCATAGTCACAAGGTTTCACTGTAAATACCCATCTCAACATCATTATCAAGGCCAGAATTTAGTAAACTTGGCGACCAAGTAGTTTCGATTCAAATGTTTTATCCAGTACCGCTATGCTTCGCCTAATTGAATTCTGTTTATCTTCAGGTCTGGTAACTGCTGTTTTTGTTGCTGGCACAGTGTCTTTCTTTTGGCTTCTTCTCCCAGCATCAAGCCCAGACTTGTATAATGATAGTCTAGATAACTGCTTTTGTTGGCACGGGTACTGTAGACGGAACTGAACATAGAAATAAGTGATTTCATGGAGGAATAGCTGAAGATAGAAAGACTTTCAGTAATCAGTGAAGAATGGAATTTTTTAGAGCTCTAGTCCTTCTCTTGTGGAGCCAAGCGACACCGACGTACTCAAGATGCTTTCGTTATAGTAGGGAGGGATTACTGGCTACAACTAGCTTCTGGTTGAGTTTAGCTTGTATCTGTACTACTCTCTGTGTAATTGCTAATTAGCATACTGTATTAGTTATTCTTTAGCTGGATGAAGGAAAATAACCAACCTGAATTTTGAAAGACAATTGTGCTTTGAACCCATTATCTTAACATGTCTTCACATGTTCCTATCCAGTGTCTTATTTTGATTTCTGTCTCACCCAAAACTCATCCTCAAACTTTAACATCTTAAATTATGGTATCTATTAAATATTCATTTAGTTCTGCTATGTATATTCACTCACACTATACTTGCTTTTTTGCGCCCAATATGGATGAAAGTAATGCATCTGCCCCCAAGTAAGATTGTAGTTCTAAATTGAGTGCATTGTTTATTCACTGTTTGAGCATGTGATACCACATGATTGCTTGCAATTTTAGTGTTTTTTTTACAGATTGAGCAGGGATGACCTCTTCTTGGCAAATCTTCTGAAGTTTTGTTTGTCATCTTCTATGGTCGATTCCACCTCCTTCCATAGTCAGCGATCGGCTGGACAACCTAAATGAATCATGGTCGCAGTTCCAGTGTTCCACTCCACCGGTACTCCCCAAATCCCTAACCCTATTTCTGTAAAATTTTGGCTTACTTGAACTTCTTGCAAATTGTGATATGGAGTTCACTGTTAAAATTATGATGAAATCAGATTATATACTGTTCATATTAGGGAAACAATCTTATTTCACAAATAATTCTGCCATTTTGTTGCAGAATATGTTGTGATTACAAATTGCGTGGACAAACTACAGGACTGGTTTCATCTGAAACTGAAAGTCCTAGAACAAAAATGTGCTGTGATGCAATTCCATGGAACCTTTTGACTTGATGTGGAATTGTTCCTGTATTTGTTTATAATATTTTTTACCAGCTGCACACAGAAATATTCTTTATTAGATCCAAAGCTAGATATGTCACTTTACAAATATGCACTACCAGATAGTGCATTATGCTTCGATTACCTTGGCATATGTACTCTTTGTAAATTTCTCGCAAAACCCCTGAACTTTGAGGGGTTATGCACAAAACCGTATAAATCAGAGAAACCCCCGAACGACTGAAAATATCTCATAAATGTTGTAGTATTAAGTTTGAATTATGACAAATCACAATTTGTGATGAAAAATTTAATGCAGAACATTCATGTGAGAGAAAGACACAACAAACATGTCAATGTTTTAAACCTTCTATTCTTTACGTTACTGCTTTGTTATGACATTTTCCAATAGTTCAAGGGATTTAGTAGAATTTTCCCCTGAAAGTACTCTTAGGACTTCCGGTAGAAAAACCCTATTGAGAAAAAAGATACAGTTACAACTTCGGTAATAATTCAGGAATGTAGCTCAACTCACTTTTCCTTTGTGGTGGTGGGTGAAAACCAATACAACTGTATTTTTTGAATATGAAGGAAAAAAACTAGCATAGATGTAAAGTAGCAAAGTAACTTCTTAAAATTAAAGGGAAATAAGTTACCAGTCTTACTGTGTTTGGAATCCTAGTTTATATTTATTGCCCATTGCGTTAATTTCTTTTGCTCCGCCTTACTTATTTTCAAGGGATTTGTAGGGAATCAATATATTCCTACTAAAGTAAACACGTGTTATTACCTAGTCAGAAAAGCATTAGAAGAGAGGAACCTGAATGCGTAACTTGTAAGTGTTGAAGTCACATGAGGAACGATCTCTGGACATAATTAAAAGAACTTTCCCCTTGTTCTTATACATTCAGTAGAAAATTCTTGTACATTTTAATCTCTTTCTAATTGTTAACATCACGAAGAAACTTGTTTCCTCTGATATTGTAGAACGATCTTTGGCTTTATTTAGCGGCTAAATGGCACTTAGATACCCTATTGTTTCACCACATTTACGCTTAAATACCCTATTGCAAAGCGTAACACTTAAATTCCCAAGTTGTCCAAATATGAGTCGTTAGTACCTTCTCGTAGTTTAAAACTTTGAACTGAGTACCTTCTCTTAGTTTAAACTTTGAACTGAGAATATTCCTAGGAATTTTCCCATGTGTTTGTCACATGTTATATTTAGGACAGTTTTCACCCTATTTATTGTTATAATTACTACTTTACCTACTTCTGTTTATTAAATTGATTGATTCATTTTCTTTAAAATACCAAAATTCCCTTCTTGCTCAATTTCCTCCTCCGATTTCTTTGCCTAACTCATCAATTGTAATTGAAAGTTAGAGCCAAAAATTCAATCAACTAACTTTAAACAAAATTGGTATAAATTGTTTAAACATTTTCAAATTGAGCACATCTCTCCCGTGATTTCAAGCACTTGAAATTCATTTCAACAATAAAACTCATCTTTGTTTTAACTGGTAAAAGGTGAAATGGGGGG